GAACACCTTGTTTCCTGTATGGAATTTCGCCTCCAACATCTCGCCGAACTTGCCCATGAATCAGCTTTCGCTTTCGCGACTGCTTTTGATGCTGCTATGTGTGCTTTGACATTTCGCATGCGAGCAGAAAGCACTCTGCTTCCAAGCTGCTTCTTGATTGCAGCTTTCTTCTCAATAACTGTCAGTTGTACCTCTTCTATCCACCAGGAAGTTGTTTTCTGACTTCCATGGACAAGCCAACCCATTTGAATCCGCAACAATCCGTGGCAGCCTCGAGGATGCCACTCTCAAAGAATGCCATTCGGTTACCACGTCGGTGGTCATCGGCGAGGAGTTCAAACCTTCGTGTGATGTTATTTGCAAATTTCGCTCTCCTATCCACCGAAGATAATGTTTCACATTTGTTTCTCTGGCTGATTCTGCCACCAGATCTTCACATGATACTCCACTTCTTGCAGCGTGCCGTGCCAACAACAAGTTTGTGATCGGCTAACATCTCTGCTCCTCGCTTAACGTGAACATCAACGAGAGAGCGCCGTAGGTCAAAAGATACGATTAACAATAAATCATTGACTTCTGTGCAAAAACTTCTCTGTACCAGGTGTAATAGTGCACGCTTCGATGCTCGAAGAAGGGTTTCATACGGGACAGTCCGTTTTTTGCAAAAGGCCGCAGCAACATCATTCCAGTATTGTTGAACTCGTTAAGACCGTTCATTCCAACGATGCCTATTCACTATTCAGCCCTTACTACGACATGCGCATTAAAATCGCCCATAAGTATGAGGGACTCCGTATAGAGCACTTCGTACAAAGCACACTCCACTCCCTCAAGGAATTACTCATATTATCCATTGAAATTTGGCGCAGAGACCGGTAACAAGGTCCAAGTTTTAGCCTGTGGTAGTTTCAGTCGGAGTATTGTCACCCTTGCGCTGATAGGCCGTCATTCATTGATTAAAGGTTGGGTTCTACCAGAACACCAACACCGGCTGTAGCACGTCGTGATATCCACACCTGAGTAGAATGGCTTCAACTCTCAGAGTGTCAGGATTTCAGAGCCCTGGCGTTTAGTTGAAGAGAGTCCAACAATGTCGAATTGATACCTTATAGCCTTATCAACTAACTGTTACTCTTATCCTCCGAGTAAGGATATATTCCTTTTTCCATCTGTTAACCTCCCACTGACGATGTCGTTTTCGGGAAGAATTTACTAACGTGCTATAGCG